GTACAATGTGTGGGGTCTGATGTACAATGTGTGGGGTCTGATGTACAATGTGTGGGGTCTGATGTACAATGTGTGGGGTCTGGTGTACAATGTGTGGGGTCTGATGTACAATGTGTGGGGTTTGATGTACAATGTGTGGGGTCTGATGTACAATGTGTGGGGTCTTATGTACAATGTGTGGGGTCTGATGTACAATGTGTGGGGTTTGATGTACAATGTGTGGGGTCTGATGTACAATGTGTGGGGTCTGATGTACAATGTGTGGGGTCTTTTGTCTACAATGTGTGGGGTCTGGTGTACAATGTGTGGGGTCTGATGTACAATGTGTGGGGTATGATGTACAATGTGTGGGGTCTGATGTACAATGTCGGATCTAGTGTACAATGTTTGGGGTCTATAATGTGCGGGGTCTGATGTACAATGTGTGGGGTCTGATGTACAACGTGTGGGGTCTGGTGTCTACAATGTGTGGGGTCTGATGTACAATGTGTGGGGTCTGATGTACAATGTGTGGGGTCTGATGTACAATGTGTGGGGTCTGATGTACAATGTGTGGGGTCTGATGTACAATGTGTGGGGTCTGATGTACAATGTGTGGGGTCTGATGTACAATGTGTGTGGTCTGATGTACAATGTGTGGGGTCTGATGTACAATGTGTGGGGTCTACAATGTGTGGGGTCTGAGGTACAATGTGTGGGGTCTGATGTACAATGTGTGGGGTCTGATGTACAATGTGTGGTCTGATGTACAATGTGTGGGGTCTGATGTACAATGTGTGGGGTCTACAATGTGTGGGGTCTGATGTACAATGTGTGGGGTCTGGTGTACAATGTGTGGGGTCTGATGTACAATGTGTGGGGTCTGATGTACAATGTGTGGGGTCTGATGTACAATGTGTGGGGTCTGATGTACAATGTGTGGTCTGATGTACAATGTGTGGGGTCTGATGTACAATGTGTGGGGTCTGATGTACAATGTGTGGGGTCTGATGTACAATGTGTGGGGTCTGATGTACAATGTGTGGGGTCTGATGTACAATGTGTGGGGTCTGATGTACAATGTGTGGGGTCTGATGTACAGTGTGTGGGGTGTGATGTACAATGTGTGGTGTCTGAGGTACAATGTGTGGGGTCTGATGTATAATGTGTGGGGTCTGAGGTGTGTGGTCTGATGTACAATGTGTGGGGTCTGATGTACAATGTGTGGGGTCTGATGTACAATGTGTGGGGTCTGATGTACAATGTGTGTGGTCTGATGTACAATGTGTGGGGTCTACAATGTGTGGGGTCTGATGTACAATGTGTGGGGTCTGATGTACAATGTGTGGGGTCTGGTGTACAATGTGTCGGGTCTGATATACAATGTGTGTGGTCTGATGTACAATGTGTGGGGTCTGATATACAATGTGTGGGGTCTGATGTACAATGTGTGGGGTCTGGTGTACAATGTGTGGGGTCTGGTGTACAATGTGTGGGGTCTGATGTACAATGTGTGGGGTCTGATGTATAATGTGTGGGGTCTGATGTAAAATGTGTGGGGTCTGATGTACAATGTGTGGGGTCTAATGTACAATGTGTCACGTCTGATGTACAATGTGTGGGGTCTGATGTACAATGTGTGGGGTCTGATGTACAATGTGTGGGGTCTATAATGTGTGGGGTCTATAATGTGTGGGGTCTGATGTACAATGTGTGGGGTCTGATGTACAATGTGTGGTGTCTGATGTACAATGTGTGGGGTCTGATGTACAATGTGTGTGATCTACAATGTGTGGGGTCTGATACACAATGTGTGGTCTGATGTATAATGTGTGGCGTCTGATGTACAATGTGTGGGGTCTAATGTACAATGTGTGGCGTCTGATGTACAATGTGTGGGGTCTACAATGTGTGGGGTCTGGTGTAGAATGTGTGGGGTCTGATGTATAATGTGTGGGGTCTGATGTAAAATGTAAATCCAAATCCCTATCCCTATCCCTATCCCTATCCCTAGCGCTAGCCCTAGCCCTAGCCCTAGCCCTAGCCCTAGCCCTAGCCCTAGCCCTAGCCCTAGCCCTAGCCCTAGCCCTAGCCCTAGCCCTAGCCCTAGCCCTAGCCCTAGCCCTAGCCCTAGCCCTAGCCCTAGCCCTAGCCCTAGCCCTAGCCCTAGCCCTCATCACAGTGTTATTTAGATATCATATATTTGTTGTCGATTATACAATTAAATTTAAAGAAGCCATTTGCAACATTTGAAAAAAAAAATTAAAAATTCATGGTGCACCTGTTGTTGAGAGATTACACGGTTGGCTTTTACAAGTGAAAACCACTCCCAACCATAACATTATTTTCTGACGATACGCTGTTCCATAATGAAAATAATTTTATTGAAAGGGAATCTCAATATTTTGCGGAGAAAAAAATAAAGGCATAAAAAAGTTACTACACACCAACTTAAACCTTAAACCTAAACCTCTGAACCCGAAACGGACCTTTTATCTGGAAACGGAAAATTTAACGGAAAGGAAACGTAACAGGGTACAAAGATAACTGGAACTAAAGTCTGAATAAATCGGACATTTAGAATGAAAAAATTCGATCATAAATAAAAGCTTTAATTGGAACCGGAATTTCAACCTGCTTCGAAAATTTTAACCGGAAAAGCACTCTAATAATAACACTAACCTTTCATTTAACTTTTTACTTTGTCGGTATTTGTGTGTGTGTATCTACATATTCATCTTATTTTAGACACAGTTTAGGCGTTTAATTTTGTGCGTCTATTTTTTTTTCCAAATACTTTTATTTTCAATGAAACATATTACATCAACATTTGTATGTGAATTCCAAAGTCTGTAAATAAATTAAAATATTTTTTTAAAAAAATCAAGTTTTAAATATGAATGCGAAACTAAGGAAGTCAATTATTTTACAATATTATGTACAATATTGTGCAACATAAATTTTGTGCGTCTATGATCAAACACGTCATTTGTGATGTGTATAGGCTATTTCACAATCGTTCATTTGAATTCGTAAGTGCTCATAGTTCCATTTAGTCATCGGTTTCGTAGCCCAGCATAATAAATGAAATAACACAGCATAGATTGGTTTATAATTTATTTTATTGTCTTGTCTAATAACAACGACCTATAATAAGTTCTAAAATAATTAAGTTAAAAAATACTAAGACAGCTTCTGACACAGTCTTACTATAACAACCAGGAGTGATCTCCCCTAAACATTCTCGTATATTCTTATATAACACTTCGGGGGATGGCAACTCGGGATATAGACAATATTTTAATGCAATTTTAGTCACTTAAACTTTTTAAAATAGAATAGAATCTCGTATAAAAAAAAGAATTGCACACCAAGTGAACGTCAAATAAAATGTGTTTAATAGTGCGGAATATTATTAGTACTTTATAAATTCACATGCGTTTTTTTTTTTTGAGAAATCGGAAATAGCCTAAATTACTACTTCCGGTCAACTGAAGTTACTGAAATTTAATAGAAGGCCGAAATTTTATTTCTATGTAAAATTTCATTTATTTATCTGAAATAGTACTCAAGTTATAGGCTTTTCAAAAATTGAAAGTAGAAAAAGTTCCACTTCCGTTTAACGGAAATCTCTGAAAAGTTGATACGGATCTACAAATTTGATATTATACTTAGGTATGAAATTTCATCACCCTAGCTGTAACGGCACTCAAGTTATCTCGTTTACATACACACACCACACACACACACACACACACACACACACACACGCACGCACGCACACACACACACGCACGCACGCACGCACGCACGCACGATGGCACGCACGCACGCACGCACGATGGCACGCACGCACGCACGCACACACACACACACACACACGCACGCACGCACGCACGCACGCACGCACGCACGCACGCACGCACACACACACATACGCACACACGAGAAAGTAAAAATAAAACCCAAAATATTTACGACTACATTTTTAGTCAGCAATGCTACATATTAAATGCCCGGATTAAGTGCATTAAATAATTCCGATAAAAACTCAGTTATTTTAAAAATAGTGTTTGATACATAAAACTAAAATAAATATTTTTCTGTTTTATATCCTCGTGTCGCGCTGTGCATACGCGGACCCGCATTGTATCATATGTTTTATTGTTATACAGTAATGTATCATATTCTGTATTTAGCCGTAATAGACAGAAAATGTACAGCATATTATATTTTTAAATCCTCTTCCTAATCCTTTAAATACAACACAACCCGCATATTTTGTTTACTTGCATGTCGGCGTACAATTGAATTGTATTAAATAAGTTGTTTGATCCATTCTGTTGTTGATAATCTCTTGAACCACCTACATGACTGTTTACTCCTGTTAGGCAGCCTAGAAAGAGATTTGTTTCTTATTGATCAAATGTGGCGACGTAGCAAGGTAAAGCTCTAGTGTTGTAACAGGGGCCGTAGTTACTGTTGAGTTTGGGTTAGGGTTTAGTTTAAACAGTGGACATTGGCGGCGTAGGTACGGCGGTGATATGGTTAGGGTTAAGTTTAAACACAAGACAGCGGCGAAAGTGCGATTAGGGTTTTTTTAATTAGTTAACGTGTGACAATAGCCAGGTTAACTTGGACCTTGATAGAACAGGAAAAAAAAAACTTGTGGATTTTCTAATAAAGAATCCAAGTCATTGCATGACATAACCTTATAAATAGAGTGCTAAAGAACGTCAAATTGTTCTAATCACAATTGTTTCCTTATTACCGAACAATATAGTTGTTTTTTTTTAATTTCAATTCAATATTTTTATCGAAATTCGCTATTGTCGTGTCATTGAGTACATTTGTCTCCCTCCTCACGTCCCACTACCTATATCGCCTCTGCCATCCCCCCCCCCCCCCCCCCCCACAATCCCCGCCACGTCTACTGTAATTAGATATAATTTAAGTTAAACCAGAACAATTGCCGCGTTAAAATCATTTAGATTAGTCATTCTATCTGTCGTTTAGTTAGTCCACAGTTGAATTATTTCTAACGACAGCATAAACCAACATTTCTAAATGGAAAGCCGTGTTTTACTCTGGTTAGGCGTGTTGATACTTACTAGCTCAACAGGTCAAGTAGTTAAATTATTTTTTATGTCACGCGTCAGCATAGAGTATATATATATATATATATATATATATATATATATATATATATATATATATATATATATATATATATATATATATATATACATATATATATATATATATATATATATATATATATACATATATATATATATATATATATATATATATATATATATATATATATATATATATATATAATTATAAACTTATATAAACATCCACACTTATACATTGATGTATAGAATTTATATATATATATATATATATATATATATATATATATATATATATATATATATATATATATATATATATATATATATATATATTAATAAATACTTGTAAAATCTGCTTAGATATTTTATTAAATTGGTTGCTTTCTGTAACAGACCGTATTATTGTGTATTTCGTTTGTTGTGAATCCTGTATGACAGTTGAATACCTGGCCATCAGAAGTGAATGCGTGAGCGAGCAATCATTGTATTTCATGCTTTTTGGATATCGCTCATTGACTGGAGTGAGAGTTTAGGCTTTAGAAGCTGGGAGAATGTCGCGTTCAGAGGCCACCATAGATGAATATACAACGTGAACTGTTTCAATGTCGCTGTGCTCAAAATGTACTTTCTCAGTTGTAAGCTTTATTGCTTGACCGTAGTTTGTTCCGATATATTTTATTTCAATGTTCAATAATTTATTTCAACGAGATGACGTGGCCTAGCGGTAGAGCGCTAGGCGACAAACTCGAGAATCTTGAGTTCGAATCTGGGTTCTAGTCAGTAGAACGTTCTAGAGTCCACCCAGCTCTTATGGGTACTTAACTTATGTTAGGGAAAGTAAAGGCGGCTGGGCAAAGTGTTGACCCTTCTTATGTTGAGTCGAGAAAACATGAACTACTTCATCTGCCCAACTGATAAATAGGTCTAAAGCGTACGTTTCTTTTTTTAAATAAACTATAACGCTTAACCGCAGCTAGTTCCGCCATATTTTTTGCGCAATTTCCATACTGGAGGATTGCGATTATTAACTCGTCATTTCTGGATGGATGGATGGATGTGTGGATGTGTGTCCGCACCTTTAAGTCGTATCTCCTCCTCAACGAAGCAATATCGAGCACTAGTTCCAAAAGCAAATATGTTAAGCAAGTTCCGAGGATGAACATAGGCCAAAAAAATTCCCGGAATTCCTTCCTGGATTTCCCGGAAAAGCCAGAAAACCGCGAAAAAATGCAGTTTTTTGCCCATATCTCGGCAACCAGACCACGACCACTTAGCGACTTGAAACATTTACCAATCGATTCCTGCCATAATTTAGAACAATATTGCCGAAGAAAGTTTTCAAAAATATCCTTTCGTTCGGTCACAATTTTTTTTTTTTAAATTACATAAACACATACAAACCGATCGTTCTCCTAGCTTGAACGCACCCCATATCTATTTTTAAATAACATAAGGAAATTGCGCTTAAATTGTCACTAGACTTTTTATTAACTTGTTTTTCAATGTCTGTGTGATGGCGATACTCTGTTCATCTATGGATATTCTTCTCATGTAAATAAAGTTATCAAGTTATACAAGCCAGAGTTCTGTTTCATATATTCATGAACCCACAGCCACAGTTGCGTTAAACCCATACATACATGTTCTGACACTTGTAATCTATTTTTTAAATTTCCGCTGTTTGGAATGTTTACATTTTTTTTTCTACATTTTAGATTGTGAACAAAAATTAAGCGACCGACTACTCAACCCAAATGTGGTTGAGACTGGAGGAACTTTTACTGTGACATGTGACGCGTCACGTGCTGGTGTTCCAACAACTGCTACAACAGTTCGGACGCTGGTGATTGAGTGGTCAGATGGTATACAGGAACTTAAACCTTTAGCAAGATACGGTTTAAATGGTACTCAATACGAGGCTAAGGTAACGCTTTTAACGTTACGTTGTGATAAAGTAATCATTAATTAGTAAGAAGTAAGTAAATTTCCCTTTCAAACCTGACGGTATATAGGGTAAGTGAACAGTGTTTCTTCCAGACTTTTTTCTCCGGGGGGGGGGGGGGCACTTGAAATTTTCGGGGGGGGGGGGGGCGGTAGACTTTCTTCGGGGGGGGGCGGACACTGTTAAAAGTATATATTTTCTATATAAATTATATAAATTTCATTTCGTTCGGGTGGGGGGGGGGGGGAGAAGTAGAGTTCACTTGTTTTTTTTTACCTCGGCATACGAAGGGATAGTGTGGTCAGCACTATGCCCAGCCGCCTTTACTTTCCTTAACCTGAGTTACCATTTTAAATTAGTTTTTTAGTTTTACAGACAAGCATTCAAGTTTGAATCAGGTTGAGTCAGTAGCGTTCGCCAACACCCATACAGGTTGCAATTTGTCGCCCCGGGCTATAACGTGAGCGCTATGGCGCCTACGTTTGTTTTAAACAGTGTGAAAGACTTTGCTTTGGGTTTTAGAGAGTCTTTCTCACCAGCAAGGCACGCTAGAATATATATATATATATATATATATATATATATATATATATATATATATATATATATATATACTTTAAAAATCGGTTTTAATTTCGCACGGGCGGCGCCCCGTGAGGGTTTCAGTTTTTCTCCATATAAAGTATATAAAATTATAAAAGTGAGATGCGTTTCGACACCGTTCATGAGTGCCATGAAAATTCGGGGGGTGGGGAGGGAAATGATGAGAATACCCCAGAGAAGATTTATGCAAAAATAAAGTTTAAATTTCTTATGGATGTCGCTGGGGAGAGGGCGATTTTTGCCAATACACGGTTTAACGCCCAGAGTTCCATAGCGGCTATCTTTGCACCCGTCTTGCACACAATTTCAACAAGGCGTCACGACTATAGCGTGACCCGAAGCGCCCCCGCTCCCATGCGAGCACTATGAAGCCGACGTTCGTTTAAAAAGAAAATGGTATACCCTTAAGACACAATGGGCAACAATCATCTTTGTTTTTATTGAATCTGGCGCGTACAGCGAATTTGCTATCCTGTGAGCGCTATGACAATAGACTATAGATACAATTGGGAGTTATAGTCGTTTACTAAACTAAAGCAGACGCGTCAGGTAAGGTGCTATTTGCCCCAGGCAAGCCGGGATGGGCACGCTAGTATATATATATATATATATATATATATATATATATATATATATATATATATATATATATATATATATATATATATATATATATATATATATCATCAGTTAGCCTTTTCAACAGCCTAACACTGGAAGCAACTGGACATTTCACTTTTCTGGACGTTTAGAGGGGACATCAGCTCTACCAAACAACCGGCACACAATGAGAATAGAAATGGTGGTCTATGATGCGACATGTACAGTTGCGGGCTCGTATTTCTGTACTGCCATATACAGTAACTCCAATCAAAGTGATTCAATAACAACTAGCTACCAGAATCTCACATTTAGAGGCGAGTTGTTTTTGCTCCTTTTACAAACAAGCATATGTCGTACGCTTTTGTTTAAAGTGATGTGCTGTATTGGAGCACAGTACTCCTCTGTTTTCGACGACTTACGTCAACACCCGTTCAACATTTAAATACATTTAAAAAGTTAAATAAAGATTCCTAGCGATCTATTGGCAGATAAAGTAGAGTTCCTCAAATCATACTGGGTTCAAAACACGAAATTTTCAGGCTACCAGCCATACCTGTCAACCATTCGACCACACAATCCCACTAAAGGCGCAATCTATCTATATACTACTAAAACTCAAGTTTGTTTACATGTTTGAATATTTTTTTTTTGTTTTTTTGTTTGTCTGATTGAGTATTGTGAATAGTTCTACTCCATGTGGACAGCTGTAAAATAGTATGTAGGTACAGAAAAAAATTTGTTTTAAGACAGACTGTTAACCACAAATTTATTTAAAGAGGTTAATTAATTTATTGATTTATTCATAGGTAGATTAACCACATTTTTTTAAAAAGATTAGAACAACCACTAGACTCGATGAAACAGTGACGTCACAGTTTTTTGTTTACTTTTTAGTATAATAAAATGGCGGCGTCTATAGAAGAAGATAGTGTTCCCATTCCAAAGTTCAACGCGTCCTTAGGGCGCAAAAGTGGGTTGGAAAAATAAATTGAATGGTTGAGGGGGGTGCAACTCGAAGGTTTGAGGGTGGGGGGTGCAATTCGAAATCTTGAGAAGGGGGGGTGTGTACATCAAAAGTTTGAGGGGGGTGCAGATCTAAATCTTGCGGGGGGGGGGGGGGTTCAAATCGAAAAGTTTGTCTCCGGGCACCGGGAAGGGTCGCTACGCCTCTGAGTGACAGACGTGATGTTTTTTATGGATGACCCCCAAAACCCACAGTTATCCAACGGATGAAGGGTAGTTATTTATTAAAATTACATTTTTTTACACTAAAGAATTGCATTCTCAACAGTAGTGAATACCTTAGTTTATTTTTTGCAGCATTTTTTTAATTATACTATTAATGATAATTTTGATTTTATCTATCACTTGTAGATAAGGGTGACGCCTAATATTTTAAACTACACTATCGTTCAACATGACTTAAACAATTTAAAACTACATTTATTTACCTTTAATTTGATCCCAATTTTATTTATCAAATTTAATCCTTAGACTAGAAAATGATTTGCGAGAGAGCGCTTTGGTTTTTAAATGGCTACGATGTTGTGACTCATTTGGTGGATTAGTTTTTAAGGAGTGTTGTTGTGACCAGAGGGGAGGCGAGACGGGGGGGGGGGGCGGGGGGGTCGGACCAATTAGGGTGGTGACACCAAGGCAAAAAATAGCAAAATATACAGAGAAAAATTATAATTCCACTTAATTAAGTGATTAACTCGAGTGTTAAATAGTGTTTTAAGAGGTGCAAATCGAAAGTTTGAGGGCGGGGGTGCAAATCGAAAGTTTAAGGGGGGGGGGGGGGATGGTCCAAATCGAAAATTGAAAGTTTGTCCCCGGGAAGGGTCGCTACGCCTCTGGGGGGGTGACACCATTAAGTGCCGCACCGGGTGACACCCAACCTCGCTACGCCACTGGTTGTGACGAGACTGGCCATTCACTGCCGTTCAGCAGAAATGTGTCGTCTGCTAGATTTCTTTCCAATCAAATAGTCTATTACTCGGCAGACAAAAAGGACGGGTTTAGTTAGCTGTTGTGTTGATCAAGTTATTTTTGAAGGTTTTGTTTTACCCTACAAGAAATTAATTAGTTTAGTAGGACGCAATATATATATTATTCTATACTTCAGAGTATTTTTTAGTAAAATCATAACAATATTAAATACAGCAAATCACGTTTTACTTACTTTTATTATGCTGTATTCGACATTCTCAGCGATTATACCAAAACAATCGGAGCAATCACCCCCTTCTCCCAAACTCAAGAATCTTCTAGACATATATCTTAACTTAATCCTAAACTTAAGAAGAGGGCTAAACCTAAGCATTCACCTCAATCTAAAACTTAACCAACCCAACTCTAGACATTAGTTTAAGCCTAACCCGAACCGTAAAATGACGTTTTAAAGGAGAATGAATAGCTACTATTATGTTTTCATATTTCATCAATACTTTAATTTTTTACCAGATCGGGCAGTTGTCGAGTCTGTGACGTTTACCCCATATTTCCCGTACATCAGGTTTGATGGCTCTGTGAAAGTGACGTCGAATGAGATCGACTCATTTGAAGGAGTACCCACAGCTTTGCTATGCAAAGTTAACGTAAGCGCTGTCAAAATTCTAACGTTTACACAGTACAAATTCTAAAACAATGTACATTATATACCGACAGTCATATCAATTCCCAAACTCCCAAGGAGTACCCACAGCTTTGCTATGCAAAGTTAACGTAAGCGCTGTCAAAATTCTAACGTTTACACAGTACAAATTCTAAAACAATGTACATTATATACCGACAGTCATATCAATTCCCAAACTCCCAAGGAGTACCCACAGCTTTGCTATGCAAAGTTAACGTAAGCGCTGTCAAAATGCTAACGTTTACACAGTACAAATTCTAAAACAATGTACGTTACATACCGACCGTCATATCAATTCCCAAAATAATGAAAATGGAAACTTATGTTAAAGATAATGTAATTACACGAGCCGACCCGCGGCATATCATACGCCGCTATTTAGTTGTTGTTTTTTTCTACTTTTCAGTAATTCATAATTTGTGAATTCGACAGTACCAACGCTGCAACTGAAAATATTTATTTAAAACACTATATGTAGCTCGTTAAGGACAATACCCCCCTCTTCCCCCCCCCCTCCGTTGAAGTAAACTCCACTTAGTTACCCCCCTCCCCCCTACGTTTAAAATCGTTTCAAACTAAAGTATCTGCCCCTAATAGTCGTCACTAAACCCGGCTCTGCTTATAAACATTTAGCTTGAACCACAGCTCACCAGACCATGTAGGGATGAGGGGTGGTAGGGAGCGCGCTTACAGCTTGTTTTCTAGCGTCTCCCAGAAGAGAATTATATATATAGATATTTTCGTAAATTGTGAATCAATTGATATTAATTTTGTAATTTTTTAGTTACGTCATTTGTATGTACTTATTACATATATCAGACATCACTGGCTGTTTGGCCTTCTAGTAAATGGCACCAGTCAGGGCACAAGAGTTTTTGGATGACTTCAAAGGACACGTGTTCAAAGGCGAGCCACCTAAATGGAGGCATCCGACTGCAGTCAGGCACAGAGAGGCGTAGGCGTCGCCATAGAAATCTTAGCCCTAGACACACAACTCAAGGTGCCCGAACGACTCAAACATCGGTTAATGGATGGTTCAGGTTTAGATATAGATAAATACACCAATATCATTTTATTTTGCCTACACCCAGTACGTGAACTGAATACAATTACACACAATAAACCGGGAGTGATCTCCCCTAAACTTTCTCGAATATTCTTATATAACTCGGAATAAAGACATGATTTTAAATTACTTAAACTTTTAAAAATAGAATAGAATCTCGTAGAAAAAAGAATTGCACACCAAGCGAACGCCAAAAGAAAATGTGCATAATAGTGCGCAATGTTATTAGTACTTTTTAAATTTACATGCGTTTTTTTGAGAAATCGGAAATAGCGTAGATTACTACTTCCGGTCAACAGAAATTACTCAAAATTTGATAGAAGGTAAAGAATTAGATCTGTTACCTATATGTGAAAAGTCTATCTAAAATAGTACTCAAGTTATAGGCTATTGAAAAATTCATAGGAGAAAAAGTACCACTTCCGGTTATCGGAAATCGCTCAAAAGTTGATACATACGGATCTACGATTTTGATAAAATACTTATACATGAAATTTCATCAACCTAGCTGAAACGGTACTCAAGTAATCGTGTTTACACACAGACACACACACACACACACACACACACACACACACACACAGACATATGGACAAGATTGCAAAATTATGTTTTTCCGTATCAGTGAGGTGTAAAACGTCGAGATTTGTAAAAAAAATCTTGATTTTTTTTTTTGCACGATTGCAATACTTTCTCTATAGGCCTACTTCTTATATACGAGAAAGTAAAAATGAAGATTCCTATAGTGTTTGGTTGTCTTATAAATTGGATTTGTGTATTACTGCAGGGACCACAAAACCTGACCTTGCAATGGAAGTTCGGCAACTCAAAGAGTAATTTTAGTAGCTTTCAGCCATTTTTTGGGCGAAACGTGACAACTGTTTCTAAACTCATGCGAACCGACCCGGTCAGACCTTGCGTCCGATACAGTCATTCGTCTACTCTGGCGTTTTTCGTAGAGGACAAGTATGAGGGCTACGTGTATGTGTGTGTGGCTACAGAAAACAACAGAGACACCGTTGTAGGGAATAAGACAATGTACGACATCATAGGTACAGTAGTGTCATTTTATTCGACCGTAATTTAATCCTAAATGTGTGTTATATTTGTTTTTAAACTCTATTTCATATTAACTAAAGTAAGTGAATAAATAAGTAAACTTTGAAAAAAATTCAATTATTTTAAAAATTTGTGTCTCACATTTTTAAGAAAGTATACAACAAAGAGCAACTGTTTATGGGTATGAAAGTTATTCTCCGCTTGAAAATCAGCATTTTTTCGCATATTTTGCCTGGATGATTTTTGCATAATTTTTGGTGTCTTAGAACTTTGGTTATGGCTAGTTCTAGTGATTTGACTTCAACTAGGGTTGAACGTCTGTTGTGAATATGCCTTTGATTAATATTTAGGTGTCTTTGGTATAAAGTAGCATTGAACTAGCAAGCAGTCAAAATATTGTGTACTTTAACGTTAGATTACCACATTCAAAGATGTTAGTGACATTTGCTACCGTTAAGTCCTCGTGTTTTATCGAAATTAATTTGCTAGATATTTTTTTAATTATTGTCTGCTTTTAAGAAATTCTTTTTAAAATGTACTTGACACATATGACAAAAATATTTGCGTTAAACTAAGATCAGTGGCATTGCTCCACCTGATTTGGACAATTGTGTCTCTTTGGTCATAGGGCGACTAACAAAGGGCAGATAATTATATTTTCGTCATTGTCAGCTTCTGTTTAGGTTTTAAAGCAAAAATACATTTTTCTTTAATCAAATGGTGTTAATTTTCATTAAGAACGAACTATTAAAAATTAGAAAATACAAATATATATATATATATATATATATATATATATATATATATATATATATATATATATATATATATATATATATATATATATATATATATAAGGTATCAACTTTTCTATTTTGTATCGGCATGCCAACATCATTTTAAAAACATTTTTGGAAAAGGCTTTTTTTAATTCTTAATTATTAAAACGATTTTTTCAATACTTTTTCTGGTGTTTTTTTTTTTTTAAATAAGTTATTTATGCGCTTTCAAGAATAACGAGGGACATTATCTATCTATATACCACAAAAAGCGAGAAGTGTGTATATGGTTTTTTTTATTTTTTTTATTTTTGTCTGTTTGGTTACATGAGAGCATCTTCACTATACGTAGAGTTGTAATATACGTATCTATGTAGAGAATAATTTTTTTTTTTTACCAAACTATCAGTTACAAATTTATCTAAAGGCGTTAATTAATTAATTAATTGGTAGAACCACCACTTTAATTATAAAAGTTCAGAACAAATTCTTTATTTTTTTAGTGACGTCACATGATTCATTTACTTTTTACAACAAATATGTCGGCTTCCATGGAAGATCATGTTTTCTATTCAAAAGTTTAATTCATTATATGCTGAATTTTCTGTCGGCTATGGCTTTAACGATTCGTCGGTTTGCTATTTTTTATAAGGTTCCAACTTATTATCAATTTTCAATAGGATACGCTGGGCAGTTCTTCTAATTTGAGTATACAATAAATTTATCGAGCCTAGATCTACCGATAGGTCAAACCAAAATTAATAAGTTGGAAACAAAAAACTAATTTAAAAATACAATAACTATGTGAGTTTCTTTATTAAGCTATTTTAGTCTATACAATACATTCATCTAGCCTAGATTCTAGATCACGGGTTCCCAACCTGGGGGTCGCGACCCCCCTGGGGGTCGCGAAGGTCTTTCTGGGGGGTCGCCAATTGGTATACTAAACCTTAGTAATTTGAAACGAAACATTAATATTTAGAAGAATTTTTGAAATTCGGCTTCATTAACATCACTGGAAATGTAATAGTGAAGAAACAAAGCGCACTGTACAAAGTTGTTCTCAGTCACGAATCTATGAAATCTTCAAAACTAAAACGTCATTTGAGACGAGTCATTCGGAACACACCAAAAATATATGGAGTTCTTTCGTCGATAAGAAGCTAGTTGCAAACGCCAGAGACTTGATCGAATAGGAAATTTTCACCATCATTAGTGCAAGCGTCAAATGAAGTCGCGATAGAAAATGCCAAGCAAAAAAAAAAAAAACAATAGGAGAAAATCTCATCAAACGCTGCATGTACGTAAATGTTAAATAACACATTTTTTATTGAAATTAAGCTTTCACCATTGTCTGCTTTTCAAGTTGATAAATCAACAGACGTGAGTTCGTGTTCGCAGTTGCTGGTCTGTGTCTATATTCATGCGGATGATAGCAAAGATAAAAGAGTTGCTCTTTTGTGAAGATAGCATGGAGAAAATAAATATCTTTTGAAACTGGATGATTAAAATGGGTTACAACGGCTGTGGGGTTTTTACAGATGGTGCGCCATCTATGTTTTGCTTAAAATCGGGCTTTCAGAAAACAGAAAAGATTTCACTCCCTAACCACTGCCCTAATCAATCGACATAAAGAGTCCATTGCTAGTATAAGTAGTAAATTATATAAAATCTGGAGCCTTCAAAGAACTGAGCAAAAACATTAATATAGATCACGAGGTTTTGCTCTTCTACACTACAGTACGCTGGCTGTCAAATGAAATGTTGTAAATTGTGTTTTTGAATTGAAATCTGAAATCAAATTGTTCTTGTTAGTGCAAAGGAAACAAGACTTTTTGGTATACTTAAAACGACATAGAGATAGAGTGGTTGGAGAGAGTATCATACCTAGCAGATATGTTCGAACATCAAGATAAGCTTAACCTGAAGCTTCAGGGAAAATGAACGAATATTATAACTTTCCATGATAATCTCGGGGCATTTTTATCAAAGCTGCAAAATCGGTAAAGAAAACAAATCTTTGGAATATTGTACATTTGAGAAACTCTGCGATGTGGTAGATGAATCTGATTGTGAGATAATTAAATTTTGAAAGAAGCGATTTCTGGGCATCTTGAATCTCTTGAAAACGAACTGCATCGCTATTTCTCTGAGCTGAAAAAAGAAGAATGAATCTGCATTTACGCATTACCCATTCTATTCTTCCCTTGATGTTGCCAGCATTCCCGAAGAATTACAAGATGAATTCTTTGATTTGCAGAATGATTCCGTGTAAGATGAAAAACTGCAGATACAATTTTGGTGTAGTATTCACCATTAATACCCAAACGTAAAATTGATTGACTTTTCGAGAATATATTTTCAACACTATTCTTCGACTAAAAACAAAATTAAGATAATTATAATCACATAGGTTGGCGTTAACAAATTTTTCTTAACCACGAAGGTTTAGTGAATAGTATGCAATTTTACTCATGCTATTAAAACAGTTATCAAGAGTAGTTCATATTGACAGTCTACTAGAAAATCTTATTTTAGTGCTTATTAATTTCCATACTAATTTCGGCTTTTTAATTCTATGGGGGTCGCGGGTCACTTACTTTTTATAAAAGGGGGTCGCCACTCGAAAAGGTTGGGAACCACTGTTCTAGATAGATCTTGATTTAGAGATTCTAGATCTACCGATAGGCCTAACCTAGATTAGTTATTCAGATACAAAAAAATACACAATAAATAATTTAATTTTTTTTTTATTAAACTATATTCGTCTTTAAATATTTGATATAAATCTTTGCTTTTTAGCTACACAAATCTATTTCGAGAATACAAGGTCTGAAGATTTAGAACTACGGATAAACTAGAATTTAGCCAGCAGTATATTGTAGATCGATATCTAGATTCTAGATCTATCTAGATTCTAGATCTAGGCCAGTAATGAGTTTCTATACTAAACTATTTCAGGCTATAATTACTATAATTATTTTATATAAATCTATGTTTGTTTAGCAATAAAATTAGCTAAATTAGGATATAATTAAATATTAAATAATATTTGCGTAATTTAACTTTATTAATACTGTACGATGCTAAGTAAATTACCCCAATAAATTTGCACTTATTGCATGTGCCCAGCTGGTCGAGTTGATAGTGTAACAGTTATATGTTGGTGGTACGGGTTCGGGACACATCATGTCAATGTTAATTTTTTTATTTTATTTTATTTTTTTAGATATGAATGATAAAGATGCGTATCGGGACTTGGCGGGACACCGGCAGGTGAAATAGAGTTCACCTGTTTCTGTGGCCTCAAGGATAGTTTAGTCAGACCCAAGATCAGCCGAAATCGGTGTTTTAAAATACAGTAACACGTTGCCTGAGGTGTGACGTCTTTTTGAACGTGGGGTCTGGCTTTTTGTAAGTGTGATAGTAGGAAGGGAAGGGGAAAGTTAACAATCGTCAAACAAACGTGACGTCATTTATGGATTACTCTCGAAACCTATCGTTATGCAAGAATAACGGGTAGTCTAGCACAATTTCATTTTTAAACTTGTTAAGCAGAATTGAACGATCAACCGGATCCCTTTTCAACCACTTAATACATCATTCATGTTAGTTGGGCTACTTGGGGCACAAAGTCTAATTAATGAACGTCGTGTGTGTAACTTGTCTGCAAGTGTTCTTGATGACTTCGTGGTCTAGAGCTTTACTTGTTATCCTGAAACTCACGAGTTAAGAACGCGGGTTCCAGACTGTAAGTCACTCATAGTCCGATCAACCGCAAACGACAATACCTGATCAGCAGAGGGATCAAAAGTCGCAGAACACCACGAAGGGGATGAATGCTTAACTAAGCTCTATTCTGCCTTGACACGAGATGTTGAAAGATTGAAAGCAATCTAGGTCAATCTAGGCCAAGTTTCGGGGGGTTAGGCTATATAATTAATAATAAATAATACTAAAGAACAAACAATTTTTTCTCTACAGCTTTTTAAAGGCACATCCTTATATGTGTTTCCCTTTAATAAAATTCATCGGAAAATGTTGGTAACTATGACATCGGCAGACATTTCCACCATTCATAATGTATTATATTTTAGCCCGAAAATGATTGAATTTTGTAATCTTGTACCACATTTTGGGGTACTCAGCAAATTATGGTAGGTGTAGATCTTTAAACTAATTTATTATGTATTTTCAAATAAAAGTACTAAATTTTAGGGAATTTCGGGCTCTGAAATGTAGTGCGTTTATCAAGATGGCTTAACTTTTCTTTCGGTTTAAAAGTCCATCTAGTACTGCAATTAAGGTGGGGGTCAACTAATTATTAATAAACCAACTAATCAATAAACATGATCCACTTTGAATCTAGAAAAAGTTTAACAATGACTGATACACTAGTCAACCCTAACGTGGTTGCCGATGGAGGATCTTTCACGCTGAGGTGTCTGCCCCCATCAACTGTCCCATCATACGTAACAATTGTCGACATGCTAACTATAAGCAGGAAAAGTGGGACAAATGTGCCTGAACGCTTAGCAGATTACTATATCTCTCAATTTCCTTCTAAGCTGCAAGTAAGTATTTTTTTCAAACTGTATTTATATATACGGCGTATCGCCGCTATTTAGTTGTTTTATTTTCCACTTTTCAGTAATTCATAATTTGTGAATTCGACAGTACCAACACTGCCACTGAAAATATTTGCTTTAAAAACACTATTAGTAGCTCGTTAAGGATGATAGCCCCCCCCCCCCCCACCCTCCTTTCCCCAACCCCTACCCCCCCCCCCCCCCCCCCATCCCGTGAAAGTAAACTCCTCTTAGTTACCTCCCCTAAGTTTAAAATCGTTTCAAACTAAATTATCTTCCCCTAATAGTCGTCACTAAACCCGGCTCTGCGATTGTAAACATTTAGCGTGAACCACAGCTCATCAGACCATGGGGGGTGGGGGGTGGTAGGGAGCGCGCTAACAGCTTGGTGTTTTCTAGGGTTTCCAAGAAGAGAATTATATATATAGATACTAGCCGTCCCGACCAGGCTCTGCACTAGCCTCTCTGAAAAAATCTGTAAAGGACCATGACTTGTGTGTTTAGTAATCAGCATATACCCAGCAATGTTCGGGTTTAGGAAATATATTACTTTTTGAATTAACCCTAACCGCAACCAACCAAAACCAAACACAAAAAAAGCAATTATAAAATAAATGCAAACACAAATACAAACACAAACAAAAACACAAAATATAACACAAACGCAGACACATATACAAATACACAAAAAAACGAACCACAAACGCAAACAAAAACACAAAGCAAAACACAAACCAACCACAAAGCCAAACACAAACGCAATCAAATAAGCAAACACAAATACAAATAGAAACACAACCGCAAACCTAAACGCAAACAATGACTAAAAATAATTCAATAAAACGCAAACATAAACACAAACTTAAATGCAAACATAAAGGCTGAGCCAAATAGCACCCTGTCGGGGCGTCGGTGGACCTCCAGATTTGAATCAGTTAAAGACTATAGTAACCTTTCTTATCCATATTCTATCACACTGTTTAAAACGAGCTTATGCACCATAGCGCTCACATGATAGCCCAGGGCGCCAAAAAACCCTGCGGGGGAGCCGGCGGTCGCGCCTGATTCAATGTAATAAACGACTTTAATACCCCAACTTATCCGCAAACGAAAAAAATGAAGTAACAATACAGGACATTTAGGAGCTGGCTTTTTAAAATGGTATTGATTTCCAAAAATATCAGCGGCGTAAAGCAATTTCACCAGATGGAAACTTTGAAGCTATAAAACATAAACATAGCTCTTAAAAGAAATAGTTTCTTCGATCTTGCCTTTACAATCGAGTACGTAGTCATGCTTTACACTGCTAAATGTACTGTTAAAAGATCTGCTTAAAAAAAGGTATGCACTATAATGACGTAAAAAAAAGACAACGTTCATCATCTTTTGTGCGACAGACAAAAACGAATTCCCCTTCGTGCGCAAAAAAAAATACACATAAAACAAATTCCTTTTCCTGCGCAAAAAAGACAGATTAATAACCTGCGGGAATTCCCTTTCCCGAATAAAGATGTCTTTTTACGTCAACTGTCTTTGATTAAAGAAAATACGTTCATACGTATCAAAAAAAAATAAAAGGCAAATTTAAAATACCTACCACATTTCTTTACATCAATCCCCACTAATTATGTAATTATTTTTTCCAACACCAAAACAAAGTAATAAAAAGAATTTTTTCTTTCCATCGCCGCGGGGAATTTTCATATAAAGGGAAGTAATTGTGTTTTCCTAATTGATCATGGGAAGTCTCTCTCCTCTCTCTCTCTCTCTCTCTCTCTCTCTCTCTCTCTCTCTCTCTCTCTCTCTCTCTCTCTCTCTCTCTCTCTCTCTCTCTCTCTCTCTCTCTCTCCCTCTCTCCATCTCTCCTCCTCTCTCTCTCTCTCTCTCTCTCTCTCTCTCTCTCACTCTCTCTTCCTTCTTCTCTCTCTCTCTCTCTCTCTTTCCTCCTCTCCATTCCCTTCACTCTCCTCTCGTCTCTCCTCTCTCCTCTCTCCTCTCACTCTCCTCTCATCTCTCTTCTCACTCTCTCTCTCTCTATATATATATATATATATATACATATATAACTATACATATATTAATATATATTATATATATATATATATATAATATAATATATATATCATATCATTCATTCATTCATTCATTCCATTCATCTCATCATTCATCATCATTCATTCATTCATTCATTCATTCATTCATTCATTCATTCATTCATTCATCATTCATTCATTCATTCATTCATTCATTCATTCATTCATTCATTCATTCATTCATTCATTCCATTCATTCATTCATCTTCATTCATTCATTCATTCATTCATTCATTCATTCATTCATTCATTCATCTCATTCATTCATTCATTCATTCATTCATTCATTCATTCATTCATTCATTCATTCATTCATTCATTCATTCATTCATTCATTTCATTCATTCATTCATTCATTCATTCATTCATTCATTCATTCATTCATTCATTCATTCATTCATTCATTCATTCATTCATTCATTCATTCCTTCATTCATTCATTCATTCATTTTCATTCATTCATTCATTCATTCATTCATTCATTCATTCATTTCATTCATTCATTCATTCATTCATTCATTCATTCATTCATTCATTCATTCATTCATTCATTCATCATTCTTCATTCATTCATTCATTCATTTCATTCATTCATTCATTCATTCATTCATTCATTCATTCATTCATTCATTCATTCATTCACTCATTCATTCATTCATTCATTCATCATTCATTCATTCATTCATTCATTCATTCATTCATTCATTCATTCATTCATTCATTCATTCATTCATTCATTCATTCATATCATTCATTCATTCATTCATTCATTCATTCATTCATTCATTCATTCATTTCATTCATTCATTCATTCATTCATTCATCATTCATTCATTCATTCATTCATTCATTCCATTCATTCATTCATTCATTCATTCATTCATTCATTCAATTCATTCATTCATTCATTCATTCATTCATTCATTCATCATTCATTCATTCATTCATTTCATTCATTCATTCATTCATTCATTCTTCATTCATTCATTCATTCATTCATTCATCATTCATTCATTCAATTTCATTCATTCATTCATCATTCATTCATTCATTCATTCATTCATTCATTCATTCATTCATTCATTCATTCATTCATTCATTCCTTCATTCATTCAATTCATTCATTCATTCATTCATTCATTCATCATCATCATTCATCTCATTCATTCATTCATTCATTCATTCATTCATTCATTCATTCATTCATTCATTCATTCATTCATTCATTCATTCATTCATTCATTCATTCATCTCATTCATTCATCTCATTCATTCATTCATTCATTTCATCCATTCATTCATTCATTCATCATTCATTCATTCATTCGATCTCATTCATTCATTCATTCATTCATTCATTCATTCATTCATTCATTCATTTCATTCATTATTCATTCATTCATTCATTCATTCATTCATTCATTCATTCATTCCTTCATTCATTCATTCATTCATTCATTTCAATTTTCATTCATTCTCATTCATTCATCATTCATTCATTCATTTCATCATCATTCATT